AGCAACAGACCTGTCCCCATCAGTACTGTATCCCAGTGTTATAGAGTAACAGACCTGTCCCCATCAGTACTGTACCCCAGTGTTATACAGTAACAGACCTGTCCCCATCAGTACTGTATCCCAAATAATTGCTCACTCTTTGTGCCTTTCCCTCCACCACATTTTCAATGTTTCATCACACCAGTCCCCAGTCAAGTATTTCTCCGTCATCCTTCACTCAGACCTCTCTGCCTCATTCTTCATTTCCAAACATCACCGCCCGGGAAATCCTGCATAGTTATTCCACTCCTGGCTCATTGAGCGAGGCTGGGTCCTGCTCCAGTCAGTATTGTTTCCTGTGCAAATACAATCTACACCATCCCCATTCTCTTCTTTCCAGCTATGTTGGGAACTTCTGTCCTTCGACAAATTCCCATCTTCCCTAGCTAGGGGTTTGAGTCCTCTCCAAAAGCACTGGGAGTTGGAGAGAGAGATAGCCCTGGACTGATCAAAAGGAGACAGAGCTCTTGACCCTGAGGTGTGGCTAATGCTAGTTTATAAATCAGCAATTGCCAATGTGGCACCATGATATTGTCTGTCAGTTTCAAAATGTTTCATAACAGTCTATTGTATGAGCTTTTTGAAGGAGTCAAAGGTTTACACATGTATGACTCTCTGATTCCACATTCAGTCAGTCAGTCTGAACTGAGACAGCCCATTTTCAATGAAGGGAGATAACTCACCCCAGTGACATCCATAACCTTGATTGCAGCCAGTTGTCCTGTCTTGACATGTCGTCCCTGCAGAGAAAGCAAATTATTAGCCGAATTAATGAAGTAAGTACCACACAGGCCTGGGGCTAGAGGATCACTATCACAGACTCTAAAAACACACACAAATCCAGACTGCAGCCTGAAGACAAGAAGGTTACCCTTGCCCCTTTCAGTGTCTGATGAAAACATGATGAGTTCAAGTTCCATTCCCAGGATTTACGCATCAGTTCCAGGCCAACAATCTGAGTGCATGACTCGGGGGGACAGTGCTGTCAGAGGGTCAGTACTGAGGGAGTGCTGCACTGTCAGAGGGTCAGTACTGAGGGAGCGCTGCACTGTCAGAGGGTCAGCACTGAGGGAGAGCTGCACTGTCAGAGGGTCAGCACTGAGGGAGTGCTGCACGATCAGAGGTCAGTACTGAGGGAATGCTGCACTGTCACAGGGTCAGTACTGAGGGAGTGCTGAACTGCGGAGGGTCAATACTGAGGAAGTGCTGAACTGCCAGAGGGTCAGTACTTGAGCCCCATTATTCCTGGGGTCGTTTAAAATATTAAAGATTTAATTAAATTTCCACAATGCATCTGTCAAATGAGCTACCTGTCAGACCTTTCTTTATAAAAAAACAGTGACCATGTTTCCGTATTCAACATGAACTACTATTTGTCACAAAGGGAAAAACTCCACCCATTGGCAAACAAAAATAAGAATAATCGACAAATATCTCTCCTGTCTGGCTGAAACTCTAGTCCTCTTCTTAAACCGCTACACATACGTGTAGGCAGACACAGACAAATAAACATGGGTGTTAGCGGTGGAAGTGGGGTTATACTGAGGAAGCACAGTTCAATAGCACCAGTCCACAGGATTCAATACAGCATTCTTTCTGCTTCTCAAGCCCCTTTGATCTCTGAGATTCTTATTCATTTGAAGTTATTTCATTTTTTTACTCTAGACATAGAGCCATAGGCACACATATTTTTTAGTCTTTTAGTCACTGGTTGGAGGCAACAGCTGAGAGCTTGCTATTCTCTTCCACTAGTTGCTATCTTCCGGGTCTTGGTTATTTCACTGCAGAGAGAGATTAAGACAGAGTCTTTCTCTGTTGCAGTTGGAGGCTTCTGTCCCTATACTGTGCTGATCTGTCCAGTAGCCAGAGAGTTATGATCCTGCTGATGACTCTTGGTCTCCACAACTGGTCCTATTGCCACAAACCAATCAGCAATCTGTTTCTGGGTGTAGCCAGTTCTGCACACACATTCACAGTACTGTGATGTTGTCCTACACAAAACAACAGTGCAAACACAACTCATAATGCATTCCAATAACTTGTGCAGCAACTCATTCTACAGTCCTTGGTTTACAGCGGTATCCATTCTCCATTTTGGTACATAGTCAAAAATAAAGAAAGATAAAACGATGTGGCCTTTATAAAGCAACGTCATGATTCACTGCAGTAGATATTGGAAATCAATGTTGACTATTTCTGGATTAATCATATAAGTTAAAGATTTGATCACAGTTTGCAAAATCCTCCAAATTATCTTTCTTTTTAGGCCTAGGTGACAGAAAGCACAGACTAGGTTTCTGTACTTAACAAGAATTACTGTTTATTACAATTATATAGATCTAGCTACAAGTAAACAATTATGAACAATCAACTTGCAACTCTGCTAGTTAAAACTTTAACCTCCTTATGAACTCCCCCTACACACACAGGCAGACAAAAAAAAGGGTGTTATGGGCAGAGGGAAAGACTGGGAAGACTGTTCAATGGTCCTTGTCCACTGGGTTCACAGAGATGGCACCTTCCCTTTCAGAGGTCTAAATGTTTCTGGCTATCTTGTGCGCACCCACAAGCTGTTCAGCTACCTGAGAGTCAATCACAAAGTCGTTGGCAGGCAGAAGGCCTTTGTCATCTGCAATTGGTCACCACCTCATAGACCAATCAGCTACTTGTTGCCGTCCGAATCTCCCTTTGTATACACCCCTGACTCTAGCTTATCTGCAATAACATCCTCATTGCTTCAACAATCAACAGTGTAAACAGCACTTACAATAATTTTTGGTAGACTCCTTTTAAAAAGCGCGGCAGTCCCTTCCACAAACGTTGGTTTTTAAAACAACCCTTTTCACATGACAGTCCACAATCAAAAATACATAAAAATAAAAATATATGATCTTTACAGTAGATGTAAAAGTTTCTATGACATGAGTTCAAAAGTAAAGCAAAAGAGCTTTCCCTAGTATTCAGATGAACACTACATAAATATTGCAGGTTGGAAAAATAAAACAAACTCACAGGAAGAAAAGGAGACCATTTTTACATTGTTGACCAGCCCGTTGGTCAAGGAACTATTGTAGGAACAGAAGCAGGCCATTCAGCCCTTCATGCCTGCTCCATCATTCAACCAAATGAGTGAATGACAGTCAAGAATTATCCGAAGTGCTTTTTCTTTATTTATGCCCAGAATGTTTGTAACCAACAAAAGCTGTTGAGAGAAAATGGAGTGTGAACAATTTTCATGCTGTGAACAAATGCAAGAGAAAAATTCTCAGTCAATCTTTAATTCCTGGGGCCACCAGGACACTCCTCAGGACAAAGTAACTCCTACTCTCAACTGCCAGGTTTGAGGATATCCAATTTTAAAGGGGGAAAGATTAGATAAAGCAGGGGTGGTAATGTTAATGCAACACTAACTTTATTATATTTGACTCTCTGGTTTTCGCCCCATCGCTGTCTGCATCATGTGATCTTGCTTGCAAACGCTTGCATGAGATGACAAGACAAGACTCGGTGTTGAAATAAGGAGAAGGGTGAATATGCCTTGACCAAGTTCACTGCCATGTGCTTTTGGTTGTATTTGCAGTAACAAAAAGCACCACATGGGGTCAGCAATCAAGCGCATCAAATGATCTGATCTGGTCAATCTGAACAAGGCTAACAAATGGGGAAGAAATTAAACTTGTTACAAGGAAATTTCATTTTGATATCAAGAGTATGTTAGATATAATTACTCATTATTAGTCAGAGTTCAGTGGCATAACTCAGACCTCATGCTATGAGCTATTGTCTTGTTGTCTATTGGTCTGCAAGGGTCTGAAAGGATTAATGTTTGATTGCATGCAATAAGCACTACCTACTCCAATGACTCCATGCAGGCCTGTGGTGGGAGGAATGTACGATTTTGTGGCAAACAGACCTAAAACCAGGTCCTCCCAACAGTCCCTCCAATACTGTAGAGCCTATTCTTAATACCTGTAAATTGTTGCAGCAATGTATAAATAATATGTTTAACTCTGCAAGATTCTTCATATTGGACCAGATCATCACCCTCAAACAAGTTAGATCATGTAAGAGCCTAATGAACACACGTACTTAGAAGATACAGATGGCCACACACACAACAGTCCCACAAATGAAGTCCAGCACTGAGGAGTGCTGCACTGTCCTTTGAATGAAGTATGAAGCCAAGTTCCTCATTTGCCCTGTTAGGTGCATGTGAAAAAATTTCATGGCAATATGTCACATCACCCCCATGCATTCTCAGTACTTATCCCTCAACCAACATCACAAAAAACAGATTGTCTGGTCATTATCACATCACCTGTTTGTGGGATCTTGCTGTGTGAAAAATGGAAACTGTTTGTCCTGCATTACAGCAGCAATTACACTAACTAAAACTACCTGTGACTATGAAACACACAGGCTTGTGAAAGGTGCTATAGCAATGGAGAGGCCATGGTTTAGTGTTACTGTCAGTGGACTTGTGATTCAGAACCAGATTAATATTCTGGACACATGGGTTTAAGTTTCATTTTGATGACTGGTGACATTTAATACCAAAAAACCATGGACTTAAAGCAAGCATAAAAGCCCATCTCGTTCACTAATGCCCTTTAAGGAGGGAAATCTGTTATCTTTACCTAGTCCATCTTATGTTAACTGGATAGAGGAAGGGCACCAGGGTAGTTTCATCATCAAGAAATCCTGAGAAACAGAGTGAGGAATTGGAATTTGCGGTGAGCTTTGTTTGCAATCCTGTGAGGAAGCTGTCAGCTCTCAGGAAACTGACACTTGTATTCTCAATCCCAAAAGTGAGTTTTTAAAAATGCTCCAAAAATAGCCATCATCTTGATTGTCCAAGCAGTGATTAAAGCAGGGTTTCACGTGGAAACTGTCAGTGACTTACAATCCATGTGTCTTCACTCTGTAACAGCCCCAAAGCTCAATCTTCATGTGGAAATCTTACTTCAGTGCAAACCATCAGAGAGTAAATGCTGAATAATGATCATATCTGCTGTACCAACCCAGTGGGCTTATCGCCAAACTCTCTTTCAAAAACAAAGAGAAAAACAAAAAGGTCGCAACAAAAGTAGACACTGGAGCTCTAACTGACCAATCAACACTTTCAAGAGGCTTTCAACTTGTTCAGGTCCCAGCTGTTAACATCAACTTTCATTTCTATAGCGCCTGTCACTCAGTGATACGTTGTAAGGTGATGCACAGGAGCAATTATCCAACTAAGAGTGGACACTGCACCACATATAATACTGGAGCAGATAATCAAACATTTGGTCAGAGGTGGCTTATGAAAAGAGTAATAAAGAAGCGAGAGGGAGAAAGCCAATTCCAGAACTTTGGTTTGAAAAGCAAGTTCTGTTTCTTTTAAAACCACTTCCATCCTTATCAAAGGCTGAACTGAGGTGCATTTCATAAATCGATCATCCCATCCATCGCCAAGTAAAAATCCCCAAAAAGACATAAAGAAAATGAAATAAATTAAGTGCGAAATATTAAAAACCAGAATGCTGAAGAAGCTAGAATTGGAAGACAGCAGAGATCTCAGAGTATCTCTGGAGCCAGAGGAAGTTACAGAAATAGGGAAGTTACAGAAGATAGGATCTGACTTGACTAAACAGTAAAAGTGAACAGAGTGATGACTTGCCTATGACAAAGGATGAGAATGTAATGCTGGACCAGAAGCCCATGGCGGTCAGCGAGTAACTGGGGAGCCCAAAGTATGTGA